TCAGCCGCCCGAAGTGACTCAGGACGTCGAAGGGGAAGTCCCCGAGCCCGCTCCAGTTCACGGTCAGCACTTCCAACCGATCCTTCGAGGGAAGCAGGACCGAGGGGTGGACGGCGCTCACGGCGATTAAGTAAACGTACATCCTCTGGAAGGTGATGTCGCCGAATATTCCTTCTGGGAGGTCTTGCTCTGCGCTGTTTTCGTGCAGGCTGAATTCCCTTCAAGAAGGAAATAAATATCTCCGTGAATTACCTCCGTGATTTATATCTCTGTGAAACGTTGGTGTATCATCTCTGTGATTTCCAGTAAAATAATTTATTTCCGGTCGCGATAAATTTGTGTCCTGGTATGAGGTCCCGTGTTACCTGTTTGAGCGGCACAGAACATACTTACATACTCAACATACGCTGAGAAGGTAATAATAATAAGGGGTCCAAAAGTTATATTAGGCACTTAAAAAATATGAAGTCCCGCCGCCCTTATGTTGCGTCGGAGGCATCTCATCGTTTGCTGATTGGCAACTGGCACACCTTCAGTCGCAAGAAGAATGTCAAGAAATGGCCTTCCGACAATTATCAAGACAATATTGCAAAAGCAATGCTGAAAATACTGTCATAGTGAGGTTTGTGAGGGGCCAAATGACATCATTGAAGGCAGAGAAAATCACTCGATGAAGCGTTGGAACAGTCCACTCTCGCCCTGTCGGAGCTCTCATGGTAGGAGCAGATGCAAGGAGACACTTCATCTGCATTGGGACACGGAAATTGTCCGTTCGTCCCGGGAATGAAGACGAGGAGGGACAAGAAAAGGGAGAGATAGGCGAAGTACTGCATTCGGAAATCGGCTGCGAAGTTGTTTAACGAATTTACTACTTTCCGTCCTTCCCCCCCCCCCCCCCCGAAGTAAATCTCGCTGTTATCTCCAGTGTGCGAACGGTAGCACATGGACAGGACAGACTCAAGCAAATCCATCGCTGTCTCTCGAAACGGTCTCGCTCAGGCTTCATCAAGGGAGGCGAGAATCCCAATGGAAGGAATGACCGACAGAAGTATGGACTTCTCTCAGGTCATTCCACACGAACTCGACGAGTAACGAATAAATGGGGAAGCGATGATTTAAATATATATTTTTGCTTCAATCAAACGGATTAGCATGGAAAGCTGAAACGTTGCTTGGACATACCTACAGAGACTCTGAATTCGGGAAAAATGTCAAGTTTTTGATACATGGTGGCATATTTTTGTGGGGTAACATTTTCACATTTTTTTTTGTCTACAGAGTTTTACAGAGATAGAAATGTGAAACTTGGCACAGGAATAACTGCAATGAAAAATTCAGTTTTTGTGGTGCAGACCCCTAGGGCACAGCTTTCAGATATGTCGACTTTTCCAAAGATATTTTCGCACCAGGAAAAGGAGCAAACGGAAAGGGTGAAACTTGATATGCCCGTAGTTCTCCGAGTACTAATTTAAGTGAAAATGTTTAGTTTTAGGATGAAACCCTTCAGGGCATATTTTTCGCAAATGGTGCATTTTTCAGAAACTCTTCTCATCCAATGAAAGAGAGAACCAAAGAAATAAAAAATTGGAGCAGAAGTACATGTTGGATTACAAAGTGCAAATCCTACTTTTCAAATGACACTTATCAGGACAGATTATGAAGAAATTTGAAGTTATGCCAATGAGATAAAATTGAAATAATGATTTCGATGGATATATGTTCGTTTTATCCCGGGACAAACTTTGACATGGTCATACTTGTTCTATGTTTTTGCCGCTTTGAAAATAAATGAATGAATGAAGAACTTTGACAATGGGGCGCCGAAGGCGTGACCATAGACCATACTCGCTAGTGAGAAATATTGTTGTCCATAGGGTTTTCCGTTTTTCCTGAAGTTCAATGGAAGATATCTCGTCAGAAGGACATTCCATTGTGGCAAATTTTTTTTTTTAGCCTTTTACGGAATGGTCAGATTAATTGCTAATAATTTTTGGCGCAAAATCTGAGGTGATAGAGTATGCTGCCTGGTTGAATTCGTATGAACGCATAACATTTCTTTAGGAAAAAAAAACATTAAGAAACTGGTACTGTTGTTAATTATTGCCTTGGTCGCAGGAAAAGAAGCAATTACCGCCCAGGAGAGCTGTATATCCATGGAATGAATCGACTTGAAGCCTGGGCGAGCGATAGCCCGACATGGCGCGAACCACGAGTCCAAATTTCCATTTCTCGGACAATCTCTTTTACCTGTGAAAGGCGCGCAAAAAGCTCAGCGAAAATAAAAACTTTGGCAACCCAGAAAATGAAACAAGGAACAAGATCATGATTTGGATAGGAAAAGGTGAAAAACAGCCGGAAAGACTAGGTGGACTAAGTATTGAGTAAAAAAGAGAGAGGTATCCAAAGCGGGAAAAAAGCTTCGCTTTTCGTCTCTCCTCTTTATCGTCCTCCTCCTCATCATACGTTGCATCCACACCATTTAGTAGCACTGCATCTTGCAATTGTCGTCTCTCACCCCCTCCCCTTCCGTCTTCGTACCCCAATATTAACCAAGTCCCTCCGCTGCCATTCTCAGTCGGCCATCCTCACAGTCTGCTGCTCTCTCTCAAAATACTTCAAACAGGGATCGTTATGAAACTCATCGTGAGTCATTGGTCATACTTCAAATTTTGGTTTTGCTATTTAAATGTGCCACAAATAACGTTGCATTGGTGGATAGAACAGGGTTTCGCGTTGGTATCGTTGGTGTTGCTGGAATCCTTCTTCCTGCTAGGCCATCCGGATGCAGAACCAGAAGCGAAAACCGTCGACTATCCTCATGGAAGTCCAGGTCCCGTCGCCAGAGAGTCTATTTTTTTATCACTTCATTTTTCTTTACGGAGGGCATTAAACAGATTAATGTAAGTTGTTTTTCCAACCGGCACCGACCTTTGCATATCCTCTCATAATTTCTCTTCCCAGGAAAACGTTCATTAGAATGTAGATATTCCTGCATTAAAGAATATTATGAATTTTTAGCTCTGACCAGCTTAGACCATGCTTCGTTCGTGCCAGTACTATAATAGTATAAAAGACTAACGAACACATTTTTACGAATCACGAGTAATGTAGATATTCCTGCATTAAAGAATATTATGAATTTTTAGCTCTGACCAGCTTAGACCATGCTTCGTTCGTGCCAGTACTATAATAGTATAAAAGACTAACGAACACATTTTTACGAATCACGAGGGAAAATCATTCTCATGTCAAAGCGAAGATTAATTGGGGATTTTCGACTAATTTCAAAATCGCCATATGTTCTTCGGTTTCGAATCTGATTCACAATGCGTCAACTAGTCTGTCTCGCTGAAAAAAAGGAAATAGGAAAAACGTATTCCTACTTGGAATAAACGAACCTTGTTAATGTAGATATTCCTGCATTAAAGAATATTATGAATTTTTAGCTCTGACCAGCTTAGACCATGCTTCGTTCGTGCCAGTACTATAATAGTATAAAAGACTAACGAACACATTTTTACGAATCACGAGTGAAAATCATTCTCATGTCAAAGCGAAGATTAATTGGGGATTTTCGCTTACTTTGCATTTGCAGGTACTCAAGCAGGAGCAGCTCGAGTTCCAGCAGCGGCGGCAGTGGCTACGGCAGGAAGTATGGAAGAATAAGTAAGTTGTGGTTCTTCCCTTGCTTCACGACTTGTTTATCGATGAAGCAATGGTTTTACCCTTTTCTTAGTCTTAAAAGATAATCCTGTGTTCTAGAAATGCGTCCGAATTTCATCAAAAATTAGATTAATCACTTATTTAGTTTTGAATTAAAACTCCCTAGTGGACGAAGATCCTTCCAAAAATTTTCATCTGGAGAAAATACCTCCCATTTCCTGTTGTGGTTGAAATCGGTTAAAATTCTTGAATATTGATAAAATCAACCTTGAGGTTTGATTAGACTGAGCTCCTCATGGGTCTGTAGAATTCAATGTGATTTCATCACATTGTCGATGTCGATGTCGATGTCGTTTTGAATCGCATTGAAATGGAAATCTTGGAAACCCGTTCCATCGGTGCATTCCCCCTCTGCGCTGCTGAGGAAGTTTGACTCCAACACGATCCAGGCCAGGCCGCAGCCGAACGCCGTGGGGGTTCCTCCTGTTCCTATGGCAGAGTGAAAGAGGATATTAAACCGACCGTGTCATACCAAAAACGGACCCACTCGTTCACGGACCCACAGATGCTATTACCCTCGAGGGACACGCTTCCCAAGGCCTCACTGTGCAATTCCAAGACCCATTTTTTTGAGTCGATCTCGGGTCGCACGAATTGCAAGAAAATTGCCTTCGGATTTCGCTACTCAGCAAAGAATGTTGCACCACCGAGATTGAATTTCCGCCCGCAAGGATTGAAATTGAATCGTTTGAATATATCATGTATACCTGGAACCCTTTTGGATTACCTTCCAGATAATTCTCGTCCAGGAAGAAAGCTTCCTGGAGCTTCCTAGATCAACCCACCGTAAACTAACGTTTGGATATGGAAAACCTTTCGTTCAGACTAATTTCAAAATCGCCATATGTTCTTCGGTTTCGAATCTGATTCACAATGCGTCAACTAGTCTGTCTCGCTGAAAAAAAGGAAATAGGAAAAACGTATTCCTACTTGGAATAAACGAACCTTGTTCGATCGCTCTCTGGTCGAATAGGCTTCTTCTAAGAGGTTTGCATACTTTTCGCTATATTTCATAATTCCTTAAATAAATAAGAGCAATTTCAGTGGAAATAGTAGGAGGATATCAGGAGCAGCGGTTTTCCCCAAGGTCACAAGGTCATCACGCACCATATGCCAATCTCCCAGCCATCTCTCTCTCTGTGTCCTTAGTCTCGTGCGATGACCTATCGACGCAAAACCTGGCAGGTGCGGCCGTTCGCATCCGAGATGGAGGGAACTCATGGTCATGCCAGATATACAAATCTCGATCCGTCGCGTTTCCACTCCAGTCATTCCGACTTCACGACTATAACAATACGTCTTCATGATGCAGGAATCCTCCACGTTCCTCTCTTCGTTCGTGTTTCTCCTTGCTTGCATTCCCGGTATGACCGGGCAGAACCCGTGTCCCGATCCCGGCGATATCTCCCCCTGCACTTGTGACGGAACAAGCGCGGACTTTGTCACCGTGGATTGCTCCGATGCCACGTCGGGCGACCAGATTTTCTCCGCCTTCAATGACGTTGATTGGCCTTTCAAAAATCTTGGGTGAGTGAGAGAAAACGGTCGATGAGATTCTGTTGTTCCTATGCGTTCCTCGTTCAAATGTTCCGTGCCTATAACGCTATCACTTTCTAACATTTTCCCCTGTTCTCCTTTTGGCACGAAATCGAGTCTTTGATGGACCTTCTTCGAGGAGACAAAAATGTAACATGGGGATTGGTAGACGGAGGGAGAGCGAGGTGACTGAATCATGTATCTCCCCGAAAAGAAATGCATGTTTTACTTGGTCTTCGCCCCATTGAGGTGCAAATGAAACTGGTCTAATGGGATGGACTTGTTAATGTGGCTGGAAATAAGTGGAGAGATTGGATTAGTGTATTCATTCCAGAGAAAGAAAGATTGGTAGGAGATTAAGGAGCTTTATTTAAAGTTTAAAAATTCACTATATCCATTTTATAACTTTCATTATCCCGATGTCCCTCCAAAAAAAGAATCCATGTGGATGAGAGTCATTTTCTTTGAATGACGCTCAGAGAACGTTTCGCTCTTTCTCCAGAAACTTCGCACTGTGGGGCAACAGGGCGGTCGAGGATATGCCCGAAGGAATGTTCGGTGAAGTTTCCTTCCGGAGTATAGGCATCTCGAATACCTCCATCAAGACCATCCATCCCTCGAGCCTGCTCCCCTCGAAGGACAGGCTCGAGTTGCTGACCGTCACTCGGAACCCCATGGAGGATTTTCCCTGGGAGGCCCTGACCCACTTCGCCCGTCTCGGCGAGCTTCGATTCTGGGAGAATGCGTTTACCACGTTGAGACCTTTCGAGAGCTCGAGTCTCGGGGAAGTGGACCTGACTGCTAATCAGATCAAGACTCTGGAAGCCGGGTCGTTTGCGCCGAACCTGTTTCGTTTGATCCTGGGTAAAACCTATCTTTCCTCACGCTGTGCTCAGCACGCGGGCGCATGCTCTTTATTTATATAATGTACTAGTGAATTTGTTTGCCATTCGTGCAAACAAACTCGCTATGAACGCGCCATTGGCGCGGTTCGCTTAATAAAAGATCAATAATAATACAATCGAAGCATCCCTTTTCGATTTTCATGAATACCCATTTAGTAAAACTCCTTGGATCATGATGATTTTTTATCGTGAGTTGAAGCTACTCCTACTTACGTGAAGTACTTTTCAATATGATGTTAGGAATTTGAATCAAGCAGAGATTCTCCGTATCCCCCGAATTGTAACCTGAAGGTTTATCGTCAATGCAGCGCCTTCTATAGCAAGGCTGTAAGGGCCTCCTTTGTATGAGATTGCTCATTGTCAATATTAATGAAGGGTAATCCAGGCATATGAGGTATTCCATGGACTTACCCTAAAACACGAATCCTCAACATTTATTCATCGAACGATTCTTTTCAAGTAAAAAAAATGGTATATTCCATGGGAACCCCTCAGTATTCAAGTTTTTCCTCAAACCTGCTGCTCTCGACGCACATTTTCCTCGAAGAATCCACCTACTTGCCTCATCATCTATCGTGTCTCTTCCTTCCTTTCCCCTCAGGGCCTTTCGCACTCGATCAACGCAAAATATCGATCGATGAACTTACAATTATTTAATTATCTATTTTGATCCATTTTTTTTAAATAGGAAACTTATGTCTCGTCCGCTTTCATCAAATTTTTTTCTCGTACTGTTTCACTATTTCCACTATTCCTATTACCACCTCGACTCGCTCGCCAAGGGAAAGTCGTCATTCAATCAATAATTAATTGGGGAATTCCTAACGCTGGCGCCACTCAGTGGTCCTGCAGCATTAATTACACTAGCTCCGATATTGGACGCAATTATGAAACTCGAAAAACAATGCCGCTCCTCAAATTTTTAAATGTTTTTGTCGATAGGTGATTTTCACGCCTTGCAGGTAGAAATCCCGTGTCGGAAATCGAGCCTGGATTCTTTCATGGTTTCGAGAGATTGATGACGTTTCATTGCGATGAATGCGAATTGGGACCGACACTTTTAGAGGGTTCCTTTGCTTTCGTTGGATCATTTCCATATATTCTGCTCGTACATAACGGAATCTCGAGCCTGGAACCGGGTGCATTCTCAGGTAAGGTATAAATAAAGGTGCGACGAGCGTGATTGAAATTAAATTTTCCATTTTCGCATCATCCCCTACGTCTTTTCGGACGCGATTTTGTAATGCGATTGGATGACCAGAGCTACCTTATTCGTTCCAGGTTTCCCGACAAATGCATATATAAATCTTATAGCGAACGACATCGGCAACATAAGTGAAGAGTCGTTCCGACCCATAGTGGAGGTCCTGTCGTTGGGGGGAGGGAGTATCGGATTGGCGGGTGAGTATCACCTCCATTTCGCCTTCATTCCAATTTCATCCACCTTCTGAAATCTGCGTTTTCCCCTGCGTGTTTTAGGCAACCCCGTCGTGTGCGACTGCAGCATGGCCTGGCTTGCTCTGAATCCGGGCTTCTTGGAGAGCGTGTCGGGTCGCTGCGTCGATGGGACGCTCTTCTCAGACTTGGTTCCAGAGGACTTTCAAGACTGCGTCATCTTTGATCAATGAGTGACAAACTGCCACTCCCGGATCACATCTCATCGTTGTAAGTTTTCCCCTGAAGAATGAGCGCAGGGTGAGCCCAGCTACTGAATAAACGATGCTGTCGATAGAATATCCGCCATTTTTTTTCGTCTCAGGCACGAAAACTGCCACGTACGAGAAACGTTTTCATGTGCATTTCGAGCAGAAGAGCAAAAATTAGCAATTGTTCCACGCAATTGACCTTTTTCTTCTCTACTCAAATGGCATTAGTTTGGTAATGCAACATTTGCTGGGTGAGGTTTGTGAGTATTCCGATTGAGAATATGCACTGTTGAAGACTGATGTCCGAAAAGCTGAAAAACTAATACTCGCAAAGGATGACGTTTCGAGGCATTTTGCCTTGAAACGTCAGATATACAGTAGGCAACATCAAGTCAATATTGGACAACTTTTTCCGTTGTTATGTTGCCGAATCCACCCCCTTAGGTCCAAGTAAAGGGTGTCAGGCATTTTCGGACAGGTTTTCACTCACTCCGGATCACTGTTGAGAGAGGAAAACAAATTATCCCATCAAGAGCTGGTACGAGCCTTCCGAAAACATTGAGCATTGACATCTGGCTCCGAAGGAGATGTAAAGAAATATTATATATAAGAAAGAATGCTCCTGTTATCTAGATGCCGTACGTGCAAAGCATTTAAATGACTAGGATCGGAAGGTGGAATATTCAACGGGACATTACTGGGTGGTTACTGGTCCCCTGGCGCAAGGTGCGAAGCAGGACGAGGGATGGACATGACAGGGCAATTGAAAGAATCCGCGTGTCTCTCTCTCTCTCTCTCTCTCTGCTTAAATCTGAAGCTCGTTTCAAGATCACGTTTAATTTCGGGTACTATTCCTTGCAAATTCACGGCTTCCGATGCTCATATTTCCAACTCCCTGAGACAAAAAAGAACACGACCTATGACGCATTAGATTGCGACGTTGGTGAAGAAAGAGAGATGGGAAAACGAATGCATGTCGCACGCCATCAAGAGCAACGTGCAACGGTCGACGTCATCCTTGAGAGCATGAGATAAAATAATCCCAGAAACAACCCCCAAGTTCCTCAAGTTGTTTCGACATTGACGGACCCGGTGGAACAGGAAATACTTTCCTGCACAATGCGCCAATCCACATCGTGAGGGGAGAAGGAAAAATCGTATTGCTTGTTGCCTGGACTAGAATGACGGCAACTTTGTTCGAGGGAGGAAAAACTGCCCATTCCCGTTTTAAGTTTCCTGTGCCGATTGTAAAAAATAATTCGACTTGCAGCGTCCGTCCACAAGGCCTGGAACAGAATGAATTGAGGCCTTCCAGGCTTTTGATATGGGATGAAATGAATGGCTCGCCTCATGGCTCATGAATGGCTCACGGCATGGCTCATGAATGGCTGAAGCAACTCTCTCGACAGAATGCTTCGCGACTTTATAAAAAGCTAAGTACCTTTCGGCGGCAAAACTCCTGGTTCCTGGTGGGGACTACAGAAAGGTTATTCGCATCGTTCGCAACGGCAATAAGTACGCCATCCTTGCTGCTTGCCTCTTTGGCCACTACTCATGACCCTCAAACTGTCAATGAACATGAGAGAGGAACGGGAACAGAAGGAGTTCTCAGAAAGACTGTTGTCTGTCGGAGAAGGCCACCTCTCGATTTTGAATTGGATCTCTGATTGCGCTACATCAGAAATGCGCGGTTAATGACAACATCATGAACAATGTCTTCGGCAAAAAAAAGATCGATCCTACACACCTTGATTTAATACAAAACGAGACCGTCCTTTGCCCCGAGAATGAAGAGGCACTGAATGGAACGAGGAAGTTCTAATTCGAGTAGCAGGTGCACCCGAGATCAACATCGTTATCGACTCCGTCGTATGCAACGATCCCGTGTTGAAAAATTATTATGTAGTGGAGTTTTTCAACAATCTGACCCCATCTCGAATGCCACCTCATGAGTTGAAACTCAAATCTGGTGCTGTCTTCAAGCTTCTTCGCAACCTCAAATAACACATAACAAAGGGTAGGCAACGGAACGCGTATGATCGTCCGTCGCATAATGAATAACCTAATCGACGCCGAAGTGGAGATTGGATGCGCGAAAGGGAAACGAGTTCTCATACCGTGGACTGACCTGGCACGAACCTGACCTTTCTTTCTGGCACGAACCTGACCTTCACTCTGAAGCCCGCCAGCCGCTGCCAATACGGCTGCCTTACGCCATGACCATCAACAAGGCGCACGTTCAAACCCTCGAAATCAATAGCTTTTCCACGAGTTCGATATTTTGGCTGCGTCAAGATGAAACTCCTTAACTCTTCTAAGCAACGTTGAACGAGAAATGGTTCACACCTCACACTGTTGTCTACGATAGCCCATCTGACACGAATTCAAGGACATCGCATGCATCGTCAGTTCCTCCCAATATCTTCATGGCAGGTCATTTGACCGGGTACTGGCTTGTTTGCAGTAATGATATTGTGGTTACCGTGAGGAATGATGTCTTTATTTGGGTATACATGAATCCTTACAAGAGGATGGTAATTGCTTTCAGGAAAACCCTCAATGCTTGGACGATCAAAGGGACACCCTCTCTCCCTCGAGACATCATACTGGGTAGATGAAGGTACTGCAAATATATTTAATTTAAAACATATTCCACCCAATTTGCATGCCCCAAGGGCATGTACCTCCAATTTCGGATTTATAACTTCTGTGGAACATGGTTAGCGGATTAACATTGATATTAGCATCAGTCACTCAATCACTCAGTCACGATCGTCTAAATATAGGCATATATACTGTAGATATATATTTCCAATGCGTTTATGAAACATAAGCTCCTTTCATAGGGAATAGCAATTCCTCATTGTTTGTAAATGTGAAATTTTGGCGATTTTAAAAAGAAAAATATATTCAAACGGTGAGGGAAAAAGCAACTCTATCGTTACAGATGGTTCCACTCCTATATACGGTGAAATGATTAAGCAATACGAAGCAGAACCACTGACCCATTTGGAGGGGAACTTGAAAGTGACGACGGCTTTCTTTTGAAGGTGCCTCTACATGGCAAGCGAGGTGGGCCATGCTCTTCGTGCATCATGAAGTCTTTCTTATCGTGTGATGCATCCTTTTGACAGGAAAAAAAAAGATTGACCAGTTCCCACTCTCATTGGGGCAAGTTTTTCAATTAAACCTTCAAAGCACATGGATCCGTGCATTAAGAATCCATATGCAAAAAGGGGGTTGAGGTGTCCGTGTGCGTTTCATTCCGGGGAACTCCTCCATGTCGGAAGAACGGATTCGAATGAGAGAGGCGTCAATCGAAAGCTCATGAGCTGAAGGCGGTCCTTATTCGGCCAAAATGTCAAAAGTCTGCTGCGGACGTTGTTCCAAAGCGCCCTCCTTTCTGATGCAGCAACCATCATTGTTCAACAGGATTCAACAATGGCAACAGTTACGCGTTGATATCCATTTGCCATGAAATTCTGTGCTTAAAAGGAAACGGCGAGTCATGGTCAGCTTCCATCTACTTCACTACCCTGCTGAATGGGCCATAACAGCCTGTTATCAATCCCTCCCGGGGATGAAAAATACCTCAGTTTTCCATCCATTTTCCTTAGTTCTCGCAGTGTCATCGGCTCCTTCACCGTCGGAAGTAACTTCACGACCCGTTACGAGTTCCTCTTTGGAGGAGCACCATCGGAGACTCGGGTTCCACCTCGTTCCAGCAGTTGCTTGCTCTCCATCCTTCGCATATTCGTGTTTTCATTCTGAATCTTTGATGACGCATTCCTCCGAATAACAATAGGACTAACACCTCGCCAAACATCCTTTGTCCGGGCGAGTAGCAGGGAGTACAAAGGATGGGACAGCGTACAGACGAGGTCCACAAAGGTTGCCTTCGCCTTCATTCTGCATCCTGTGCATGAGGCAGCCGGGAACTCGCTCGGACGAGAGACATCCGACGAAATGTTCAGCTGTGGAGCGGATGCGTCGACGGCATGGGAAAAAACTACCCTCGAAACACCAAAAGGTAATTTTTTTTACCTAACCGTTGAGTTTCCTGGGTGGTTGCGTTCGGGAATGGGTTCATAACGAATTCTGACGATGAGGAACAGCTACTAAAGGCAATGACATTTACCTGCAATTGGCCGCATTGTTTATATGAAACTCAGATTGTATGGCCAATAAATGTGGCATACACGATGGAAAATTTTCGGACAGAGAATTTCCATTTACCTTAATATGTAATAAATTCACATATACGTACGAGTTGGATAATATATCATGTTAATTAACTGAAGTTTCTTAAAATTAAAAAAGTCAATCTCCCAACATAATATCGCGCATTTTAATGCACTATCGTTTTATAATGCAATACGCAAAATATATCAATTCTGTACTTGTTTTAAATAAAAAAAAGGTCGAGGAGGAGGAAGGATGCAATTGGCATGGCTGATTTCGCGCAAAATCATGAAGATCTCTGTCATCATTTGGTCGAGCGCCCTCGCCGTGCAACAGGTTCCTCGAACAAAAATCTCCTTGATTCGTGCGCGGATTCAGCCGTCGGTTGACAGCGTTCCTTCGTCAGGTAACGGCGATGATCAGGGAATACATGTCCTTTCCGACCGAGACGTCGGTGACGCACCGCTACGCCGAGACGGTCCCGTCTCCCGCCTTCACCTTCTGTCCCAGGCCGTCCGTCGGGGCGAAGGCGACCATTTTCGAGAGTGCGAGCGCGGGCGGTATGGTGAGGCTGGCCTATCCGAGGCTTTACTATAGTGACCTGGGGAAGCCCTTCGTGGACTTCAGGGGGAATTCCACGGCATCCAAGCTGATGAGGAACATCTCGGTCTCTCTTGAGGACTTTCTTCGAGACGGTCTCGGAAAGTCGAGGATCGTCAACAGGGCTTCCCGGAATGGAGAGACCGTCATGCTCACGGAGGGTAAGCGTCTTCTTGGAGTCCCATATCCGAAAGGTCGTT